ATTTTGCCTGAGAGAGAATTAAAGCCCCAGATGAAGTCTTCTGAACTTCTATGCCAAGAAAGAAATCCAGCTCACCAAGGTCTTTAAGTGCAAAGGAGATGTTCAGCTGCTGAATCAAAGACTGAATGAAACTTGAATTACTCTCAGTGATGATTATATCATCAACATAGACTAGAAGAAAAACCACTAGGGAAGACTTCCTGTAGATGAATAAGGAAGGATCACATTTGCTAGCCAAGAAACCAAGGTGCAGTAAAGCAAATTTGAGCTTGTCAAACCAGGCCCTTGGTGCTTGCTTCAAGCCATAGAGGGCTTTATGTAACCTGCACACAAGATATTTATTAGGTGACTCAAATCCAGGAGGCTGTTGCATGTAAACTTCCTCCTCAAGGATGCCATTGAGAAAGGCATTATTAACATCTAGTTGCCTGAGTGTCCAGCCAAAAGAAATTGCAACAGTTAGAATAGTTCTAATAGTGATAGGCTTTACAACTGGAGAGAATGTCTCAGAATAATCAAATCCTGCTTGTTGATGAAAGCCTTTGGCAACTAGCCTAGCCTTGTACCTATTAACTGAGCCATCAACATTCTCCTTAACTCGAAAGACCCACTTGCAGCCAATAGCTTTCCTATTAGGAGGAAGAGAGACTAGTGACCAAGTGTTGTTTCTTTGAAGAGCATCAAATTCGGACTGCATGGCTGAAAGCCAATTAGGATTGGCCAAGGCCTGTTTGATTGTGCTAGGCTCAACAGAGGTTAAAAGTATTTGAGGTCTACATGTAGTTTTAGACCGAGTGGGAATTGAACGATCAGGTGAGGAAGGAAGGGGACCAGATGGAACATACTCAGAACCAGAACTCAGATGAGAAGAGGAGGAAGTAGAAGGACTAAAAGAAATAGCAATACGAGAACCTGGACTGGATGTGTTGCTACTGTTGGAAGTAGATGAACTGTGATTGGAGCAGGTAGACGTAAGTGCTGGGAGAGGAGAATTGTACACTAGTGTTGAGGTTGGTGTAGAGGAGATACTATTAGGATCCCTTGAGATGGTGAAAGCTGGACTGTCACTGTTTGAAGGTTGATGTGAGTCAGAATGAGTTGAAGTAAAGGTTGTGGGTGCCACCAGTGGAATTAAATTGGAGACAGAAGAGGTAGGACCAGGGGTAGGGCTAGTGTTTGTGTTTAAGGGAAACCAGGTAGAATAGGGAAATTTAGTTTCATTAAACAGCACATCTTTTGAGATAAAAAGTCTCCCAGAAGAATTAAGGCATTTGTAGCCTTTGTGACTTGGTGAGTAGCCAAGAAAAATGCATTCACTGCTGCGAAATTCAAGTTTATGACTGTTGTAGGGTCTTAGGAAAGGGAAGCAGGCACAGCCAAAAACTTTGAAGGACTTGTAATCAGGGACAGTGTTGTGTAATTTTACAAAGGGAATTTCAAAATGTAAGGCAGCAGTGGGTAGGGAATTAATAAGGTAAACGGCAGAAATAAAGGCATGATCCCAAAATTTGATGGGTAAGGATGCATGAGCAAGAAGAGTAAGTCCAGTCTCAACTATATGTCTATGTTTTCTTTCCACCACACCATTTTGATGATGAGTGTGAGGGCAAGCTACCTGATGCATTATACCAAGTTGCTTAAGGAGTTGATTGAAGGAACGAAACTCTCCTCCCCAGTCAGTTTGTAGAGCTTTTATAGTGGACTGAAAATGGTTTGACACAAGTTTTTGGAAATGAGTAAAGATGGTTAAAGCTTCTGATTTCTGTTTTAGGGGATAAATCCAAGTGTAACGAGAATGAGCATCTACAAACGATATATAATATGTGAATCCCATTGTGGATTTGACAGGAGCTGGTCCCCAAAGATCACTGAAAATCAAATCAAAGGGTTTAGCATACACTTTGGTTGAGGGAGCTGAATGCAAACGATGGATTTTACCTAAACAGCAGGCAGAACAGAAATCATCATTTGTTTTATTAACAGTAGGAATATTACAAAGTTTGAGAACTAAGTTGAGGGCCTCAGTGTGAGGATGCCCCAATCGACAGTGCCAAAGAGAGTACATATAATTGGAACCTATAGCTTTTACAGAGCTAGAAGCTGTATTAGCTGTGGACTGTGTGATTACACTAGTAGGAACAGTATGAGAAAAATCTAGGCTACTGTTTGGTGATGAATTACAAGAAGTAATTGTTGAAACAGAAACAGGAGAATGATGACTCGGTTGCTGACTTGAGTTGGGAGAGAGATGAACTCCTTGAAAGCTATATAGACCATCTGGTCCTAAAACACCTTCCAACAGGACTTCATGGGATGCCTGAGATTTTACACAACAAGTAAGAGGGTGAAATTCAAAATAAACACCATTATCTCGAGCAAACTGACTCACACTAATCAGATTCTTAGTTATTGAAGGAACAAGAAGAAGATTGTTAAGGTGTAAAGAGGTGTGTGGTTTAAGTGGGGAAGAGAAAGAAGAACAGCCCATAGCATTCACTTTCAAACCTTGGCCATTCCCTATGTAAACCTGATCAGCACCAGAGAGTTGTGTGCTTTGCAACAGGTTTTGAGGATTGGCAGTCACATGATGAGATGCACCAGAATCTGGATACCACTCAATTGCTTGAACATGTGAAGGAGTGGGAAGAAGACCTTGTCCTTGAGTTGGATTGGCAGTTAGCAATGCTTGAGGTTGAAGAGTGGTTACCAAGGCTTGAGGCTGATGAGGAGCAGTAGGTCTAACATACTGATATGGCCTCTGAAACGAAGGTTGTGCTGGTGGAAAGTACTGAGGAGCTGCTGGTGGAGAGAGTTCAGGTACAAAGTTCTCATCAAATCTGTACCAGCAGCTCTGAACGCCATGACCAAACTTATAACAAAGCTGACATTGAACATTGCTACGTCCACGACCTCTAGCTCCTCTGTTGCTTCGAGTATAGGATCTGCCTCTGCCTCTTCCATAATTTGGACCATATGACCTCTGATTATATGCAGTTGGATCCAAATTTGGTTGCACAACAGTTAGAGGAGACCTTACAGGTGCTAATTCAGATCTGTTTGCTTCTTTTGAATCAGGAGAGACCTTGTGCACAACATTCACAGTCATTGAATCAGAAAGAAGAGCTTCATTTTGTCGTGCAAGCATCATTTCATGAGACATCAGTTCAACTCGAAGATCATTGAGTGAATAAGGATTCTCACGTGCTCTGACTGATGTGACAAAGGCATTGAACTCAGCAGGAAGACCAGCAAGTATCAGTTCAGTTTGTTCATCAACTAGAATTGCACTTTTAATTGCTTTTAGTTCATCACACAGAGACTTAATACGTTTAAGGTACTCAGCAACAGATCTTCCACCTTTCTTGATGGTGCGAAGCTCAGATCTGAGCTGGTGAGCTCTTGACTTCATCATTCCTTCAAAAAACTTATGGATCTGATCCCAAGCTTCATATGCATGGCTAACTCCAAGGATTTCATTCAGAAATTCTTCTGAAATAGTGGAAAGAATCCATGAGAGAAGCATATGATCTTGACGAAGCCACTCAGTATACTGATGATTGATGACTCCGTCAACACGATCTTGCTCCGAATCAAACTGAAGCGGTACTTTAGGGTTAACAAGAAAATGTTGAAGCTGATGAGAGATGATTACAGGTTCCACAACCTGATTCCAGAGAAGGAAATTGCTCTCTGTTAGTTTAACAGAGATTTGATGGCTGAATAGCGAGGGAGAAGACGAGCGATTCTCGGTCGAAGAGTTTCCGGTTGTGTTTCCAGTCATCGAAGGAGAAGGAGACGATGACGGTGATGAAGACTTCGTAGCGGAAGACATAGTGAGGTGCGATCTGTATCAAGCCCTCAAAGAGAGCTCTGATACCATAAACGAGATCTGAATCAGATGAGAGAAAAGGAAGAGAGAGAGAGAGAAGAAAGAGATCGTGTATTTCATGTTTTTAATTGATAATAAACAGTACATGAGGATTTGCTATATAAAGGGACGATACAGCCACGTCACCTAATTCTATTTGTAACAGCACAGCTGTTACTATTACAATGAAGCTAAGCCACTAAGCCAATTGGCTATTTACAGAAATATCCCTATCCTTATACACTAATAAATGAGTTCCTTTATACACAGGAATGAAACGAGACCAGATCATTCAACATTCCAAGGATTCTCATGCCTGATTCATTGCTAGCTCACGATCCCCTCCTTTTTTTCATCTCCATTTATGTCAAAACGGTCTAACTCGGTGAACCGGCGGGACACCAATTTTAACGAAACCCGGCCGAGTCACACGGGTCATACCGGTTGGAATGCATCTCCGATCCATTGAGGTACCCGAGCTGGCCACATCATCGGTTTATCGGTTTCCGGGTTAAACCGGCCAATCCGGGTTATATAACACTGCTCTGAATAGCTTATTTTTATTTGTGATTGATATTTGCAGAGTTCTGTGTCAATGTCGTGGTTTTTTTCACCTGAAAAATAGAACAAAATAGCAACACAAATTTTTATAAATATAAGATTTGCATTGAGATTAATCAACTACGGCAGATATTTTAATCTTTTTTCTGTGCATCGCTCGAATAATACACTAGTTAGACATATTCCAAAACTGTCATTGTGGGAAAATATGGGCTGATTGTGGTTAATATTGATTAGGGCAACGTTTTCTTAGAAAAGTGGCACCCAACTCATTACTTAGTGCCTGTTTATTTTTTTTCTTAAGCTAGAAGCTATTTATAAGCATAAGATAGGCCAAAACTCCTAGGAGAAAATTTTTTATAAGCTCTTATCTACTTTTCTTGAATTATGTGCTTTTTTTTAAATAAAGAACAATAAAAATAAAAAGAGATACTTTTATTGAAATATGTGCTTTTAAATAACTTTTAAATTAAAAATTTTATGTAATCACCAAATAGACTCTTAAAACTTTTTTGATATAGACCCACACCTAAAACACAAACCGGTCAAACAGTGTACAAAGAAAGTTCGTGGCCGAGGTTAGCAATTTGCAAAGGCACAGATTCACACTTAAACTTCAAACATAAATTTGCAAGGCTGTGTGCCCTACAGCCCTTTAAAAATTAATAAAATTAAAACCGAAACCCAACCCATGATCAACTCTACTTTGGTCTCGTCGCTCTGACGAAAGAGTTCAAGAGCACTTGAAACCCAAATTAACATTTATCAAAACTGATACTTCCCTTATAATAATGGAAAGAATATACGAGGACAATGATGATTTCGATACACAAAACCCCAATAAATAATGTGCCAGGTTTTATGCCGCCAAAAGAAAACAAAAGGAAGAACAACCAAGCTTGATTTAAACACCATTGCAAAATGACATAGTGCCCATCAAGCCGCACTAGCATTCTAAATAATAATATCCCAGGTAACCAGATGAATACAACAAAAGTGTTATCAGTCCCTTCCGCAGCCTTAATCAGGAAGACCGACATATAGAATCTTTTGTAGCCAGCAAAAATCTCAACCCAACACTCAACTTGCCCTACGCCCAAGGAGAAGCCAATCAAAAATTTTATTTCTGCCAGTAAGGCCTTCCGAGCCTTTTGAAATCCAGCAGATATTTGCAGCCCCTCACGACACAGTTGATGCCCCACTATTAGTCTGTTTAGCCACATAAATTTGCTTGACCTTGGACGATGAAAAGCTCTTGTCTGCACCCAGAGATTGGTTTCTTCCTTGGTACCCCATTCTACGGTGGGACCATTCACCCCCAGAACTATTTCTCTGAGAAACACCACCTCCTCTCTGATAATTATTAGTATGTCCTGAGGAATGGTCATATTGCTGCGTAGAAATATTAATTTGTTGTGAGTGCTGACCCTTAAAAGCAGAATTTGCATTCTGGTTATTACTATTGCTGCTATTGCCATTCTGAACATCAGCCTTGGCAGCATCCGTAATGTTGATCACGGATGGAGTTTTGTTGACAACACTCTGTGCTGAAGTCTTGGCAGCAGCGGAGTTTGAAGTGTCCACTAACCCAAGTTCATCAGGGAATTGGTTGACATTTACATCAGCTGCTCTTGGAAAATTCCCATCACCGTCAGAAGATGATGGAGTTCGAGAACTGTTAAACCTTTTGACATTTAATGGCTGGTCATGGCTGAATTGAGAAGTGTGAATCCCTTCTTGTTTCTGCAATGGCATTGACAAAGGAATGGATGAAAGTGGTGAATTAGGAACATGTGGCCATCGTGTTTGTACTGACATCTCAGTAGAGGGCTGCAACAAATTTTACACAATTGTTAACTACATGAAAAAAAATTAACACCTTAAGCATACAAATTAAAACAAAGTATAATCCGATGGCTTTTATTATCTTATTGCACAATATGAACTACAAATAACTAGTACTCACAAATTCCAAGCAAGCTATACTATCTCCAACAGTGCAATATTGTGCAACAAGCATAGAATCTTTTGCATAACCATTGCAGAAATTTACCCATAAGACACATCAAAACTTTACCTGGAAAGGAGAAACATCAAACATAGCCATAGGAGAAGCCATCGGTAGAAGTGGCGAACCAGGAGCAAGATGTTGAATTGAAGAAGGCATGTTCGCAGGATTCCGCTGTGCAGATGCCATATTCAAATTGTTCATATCCGCTTCGCCAGCCCCCATGGCAGAAGATGTAGGGATGTGTTTCCAATCAGGCTGCTTTCCAGAGGGGATATAAGTGGTGCCCATGAAACTCAAACCAACTTGACCAAATTGTCCAACAGGTGCAAAATGGTTATAAACAACCATATGCGGTGGCCCCTGGACTCCTGGGATGCCTCCAGGAGGAGCAATAAAAGGCCCAGTAAATCCTGTTGGAGGACCATAAAAAGATTCCACACCAGAATGGCACTGTTGCCAGCTCCCAATTGGCCCTGATGCCGATGAAGTGCCTTTTTGAGGCTGTGACTGTGCTGTAGATGGAGACTCATCATGTGGTCCAAATGCAAAGATAGGACCACCCATCATAGGATTCATTTCATAGAAAGGAAAATGAGGAGGGTGGCCGGAAGGAAAATGAGGAGGGACTGATGGAAAATGCGAGATCATTTGGCCTGAAGAATTTTGCGTAATAGGTACGGGAGGCCACAAGGAAATTGGTGGGGTCTCAACAGATAAGTCTGCCGGAAGAGATACACTAAGAGGCTCCTCAGATCTAGATTGACTAGCTGATTGCTGCTCACAACCCACTCCTGCCAAAGTAACTAATATAGATAAATATAAAGTTCCAGAATACAGATTGGTCTGAATTAATCATATGCCCAGAAGAAAGAATAAACATACTAATGTCTAATAATGAGGGAAAAAATTCACCTGCTACAACCCTATTAATATCTGCAGCCACATAACTTTTACCATCTGATACTGAGACAGAACAAGTACCCAACACATTTCCAACAATTTCATCACTACTAATGGCAGCAACAGCAACAGCTGAAGCAGCTGCTTCGGCTTCAGCTTCTGCATCACAATCTTCTATATGGCCATGAGATTCATTACCATTACCATGTTTCTCTTTATCAAAGAAAAGACTGCAATCATTATCAGATCCAGCAAGGTTGTGGGACATTTGCATATCTGATCTAGATGATCGAGAGGGCCCTATGCCATGAGACACAGCACGGCTGCTAGGAGGAAGAACAGTCGGAGATGTTACTGCCCCTGAATAGAAAAAGAAATATCCTCCATTAGTAAGGCAACTGAAAAGCCAGAAATATTACCTCAAACTAAAAGAAAATTGCCTTTCAATGTATTATAATGGAATGATTGACTAAACAGATCTCAATGCAAAATTTATTTGCTAACCAAATTGAATTTTCTCTCCAGCAAGCAAGGAATTAATTGGGCTGGCAGCAGACGGAAATGCTTTCTCCTTTGTCAAAATGGATGATGTTGGCAAGCTGGGTTCACTAACAGCTCCTATCATATTGCCAGCAGAAGCCTGTGAATCAAACTGTTGAGGCTTCATGGCCTCATCAAGTTGTGTCTGGGTAAGCGCCATGACCTGTCAAACAATTTGTTTTAGATTCTCAAAAAAAGCATTGAATAAACAATTAAATATTTATGCATGTGCTTTGATAAAAGCATCACATCTTCAGATTATGCCATTTTGATCCCCAAACAATCAACCCCCCCCCCCCCCCAATCCCGCAAAAAATAAAATAAAATCGGAACTACTAAAAGTTGATGCTGACAAAAATAATAAGTCCCTCCAAAACAAATAAATAGGCAAATCCCCTACAGAACTAAAACTATATATAGGAAAAATCAGATCTTAAATTTCTATGTAGATCACTTAAACTATGAAAAATAGGGACCACATACATGTAAACAAAAACAAAATAACAAGCATTAAAGAAATATAAAGCAAAAAAAAAAAAAAAAATCAGAAATGACAGCATTTCAATTGCCATTGTTGCCTTACAAAGTGGGGGGAAGGGAAGTTCAAACCTGTTGACTGATTTGCGCATTCCAAGAGCCCAAAGATGTCTGAACATTATCAGGAACCTTGTTCTTGCTTTCAAATATCAAACCAGACCCAGGGTCTTTTTCACCATTAGAAACTGCCGGGAGGGTTGTCTGAAGCGACCTGTAAAAGGGAAAATAGCATTGATGTTTTTGGTACAGTGATGGTCACATGAAATCATACAAGACAACAACTACCTGCTTATCTGTGATCTAAAATCAGGCTGGGCATCAATTTTCAAAGGAGGCGTGCCAATAGGAGGTAATGCTTGGGATAATATGCTTGAATTAAATCCAGATGACGCATCAATCTTTGCCATTCCCCGTCCCCCAGCCGCAACAAAATCAGTGCGGACACTGTTTGGCACTTCTGTAGATATGGTTCCTTTGCTAGAATTGACCATGGACACAGCACTCTGCAAAGTGGAGCGCAGTTTCCGTGGCACCTAGTATTAAACAGAAACACAATTAAGAAAGATGCAACACAAAATAAGGTTATATGCACAGACAGAAACTGTAAGTGATTAAAACCTTTGAAACCCGAGACTTGGCCTTGATTTCTTTCTCCCTTTGTTCCCGTCGATCATTTAGCATTTGCCTCTTTGACCTGACCTCTATAAAGTCATCTTCATCACTAGGAGCTTCAATTCCAGGTTGCCCAAACACACGGATAATTCCACTTTGCAATGGAGCATCAACATCTTCCTCAGAACACAAGTTCCTTTTGAGATTACTCTGTCCAGAATGTGAAATGCTCTGAGTCTTTGTTGGTTCTTTTCCATCAACCTTCTCAGCAGTTCTGCTTCCAGAATCTATTCCCTGAGAATTTTCTGTAGCTGATTCTACTGTCTGTTTCCCAAATTTATTGGCCAAAGCCTTCCTAGGTCCATTCCTTCCAGATATGCCTGTTCCCCTGCCATTGATATTTGACTTATTATCCAACCCAAACTGATCAGTCAAAACCGAACTAGAAGACTGCCTCTTCTCAGAACTTTCCCGAACTCGAAACTCAGTGCGTTGTACATTCCGACGAGGCCTCCTTGCAAATCCTCCGGAGTCTGCACGATTCACCCTTGGAGCTGGACCTGATGATTTTGAGTTTGAAGTTTTTACTGTAAAGACATATCTCTTTCCTCTGCCACCAGATACAGGAAATTGTGCTTTTGACTCCACAAACTCTTTCTCTTTTGAAACTGAATGAAGCGGTGCATCTCTAGTAAGAGGCCGAACTTCTGCTTCTTTACCATTGAATGAAGTATTGGTGCTCTTTCCAACTACATTTTGGCGCCCCTGCTTGTCCAATTGGAAACTTGTAGCAGTCCTAGTGCTATTATTAACATCATGGGGAGCCTCAATTTGACCCTGCTTTATTCCAGCTCTGTTTTCTGCATCCTCATTTGGCAGTGAAACTTGTGATAAGTTTCTTGAATTACCTGTTTGGCTGTCAATAGCATGATGCCTTATCTCCTTTTTGGTAAAGGAATCAGAAATTTCTGGACCAGTATGAACTGGCATTCGACCTCCAGGGTTATGATTAAAAGAGTAACCGGATGGAATATTAGGCTGAACAAACGACATTGATTGAGGACCCAGAGGTACTATCCCCTGGGATATGGGAGATGTATACCTTAGCTGGCCAAATTGAAACAAAGGAGGCTGCGATGGGTGCATGTGAGAGAGGGGTGCCCCAACCTGTGGATGCAGATGCAGTGGCATCTGTATAGAACCAATCTGTATGGCTGGTACCGGTGATGGTATCAAGGATGGACCAGAAAAAAGACCAAATTGAAGCTTAATGGGTAACTCAGCTTGATTTGGAGCAGCAGATACATTAGACGTAACAGATTGACCTGAAGATGAGTAGTTAGGGGTAATAGTAACTGAAATTGGTGTACTATGATGGGTGGACAGGCCATTAGAAGCTTCCACATTACCTAAATTCTCAGATGCCGCAGATGAATGAGCAATACTAGGGTGAACGACCAAATCTTGAGTTGACTTCTCTGAATCATTGAACACACTAGAAGAATTATTAAGATTCACCTGAGAGGTATCATCAACAGGTCGGACGGCTTTGCCATCGCTGCATGCATTGTCAAAGGATACATGTTCTTCTAGAGTGATGCCAGAAGCCTGTTGTGGCAAAAGTGCAGTTTCTTCATTTTTCGAAATCCTTTCAAACTCCTCATTGGGCATCCCAACCTGAACACCCTCATCAAATCCTAATACTAGGTTATCCATCAAGTGAGGCAATCCTTTCTCCTGCAAATGCATATCTTCAAAGTCCTGGTTGAGGTCGGCATTATCATCTCCTTCATGCACTTCATCTTCTTCCTGATAATCATCATCTTCATCATATTCTTCTTGTTCCTGGAACTGCTCATTATTCTCAGTAGTCCATTCATCATCATCGCCACTAGAGACAGCACATGAAGTAACTACATTCTCATTTCCAGCTCTGGCAGGTGTTGCAAATGATTCATTATCTGGAGCTGAGAGGGGGCCGTTTTTGCTTTCTTTAGAAGTCAATACCACAGGAGAATCTCCAGAGTCATCTAAGTCATCGTGAGAGAGATGTGTTGGAGAGCTAGGGGGACTTGAAACAGAGAGAGAGGACTGAGAATCACACCTGGGTGTGGTCTCGCCTTTATGGTCATCATTTTCAGTAGTCTCTTGCAGGGCATCCACTGCTTCAGGTTGTCCAAGATTCCCATGGTCATAACCAGTTGGCAGGGTAGAGTCACTCCTTGTTGCCTGATTATACCGTATCTCATTTTCTAGGAGAGCAGAAGGGCCGGGATGTTCATTTCCATTCCTGTAAATTCTGTGAACAGAAGCTAGTGAAGGAGGAGGAAAAACCCGAGGTTGCCTGACAGAATACCGTGACCTCCCCATAGCATATGGTCCATCTGATTCAGAATTTGAATAAGTCCGCTCCGGGAAGTGAGGAAATGGATTACCACGATAAGGGCTCTGTGTCCAACCATCAACAAAATTTTCATGAAAATCAGAATCAATCTCTGTATTTCTACTAAGATTATCTCCATCTGCAGATTGATTCCACCTCTGTGCTTTCACATGAGCATATTCATCCAAATGAGACTCTGAAATCCCTCCTTTATAATAAGTCCTTGAAGACATAAATCCAGTACTGCCATTATCTTTCCTCATAAATGGTCTTCCACCAATTGATGAATCTCTACGGGGACTGTTGCGACTATTCTCCTGGTCTTGTGGATAGAATGCCGAGCTGCTCCAATTCTCATATCCATCTCTTCTCCATGAATTGACTGGTTTTCCTCTATCCACAAAGGCAGAAGAAAAATCTCTAGAGAAATGAGACCTAGAGCCTGTCTCCAATGGCCTATTCACACTTGATGAATCAGAAGATGCCGAAGTCAATATCCTGTCAACCATTCTTTCACTATCCTCCCAATCACCCACATCTGTAGCCCTGGATGCATCTTTGTCATTCACTATCCCAGGCATTTTCTCATCCACAACAACTGGAACATTATTGCCACCTTCAGCTGATTCAGCCCGCCTTCTAGCAATCCTTTGCTCCAGTTCTAAAAGTTTTTGCTTAGCAGCTTGTTTCCTCCTCTCTTCTTCTAAAATGATCCTTTGTTTCTCTTCTTCCCTTGCTAACCTCTGCTCCTCAGCCTTCCGCAAAGCTTCAATCCTTTCTTGTTCTGCTCTCCAAGCTGCCTCTCTTGCTTCTTCTTCCAACCTCCTCTGCCTCTCTTCCTGTTCTCTAGCTTGCCTTAATCTTTCCTCTTCTTCTCTACGAGCTAACTCCAATGCCCTTTCTTGCTCCTCAATGATTCGTTGGCGCTCCTGTTCTTGCATCCTCTGAACTCTTTCAAGCTCAGCCTCAAACGATTCTCTAACAGGATCATGGAAATTGGTTTGCTTGAGTATATCCTTCTTCTTCTTGACCACCCCAACAAGAAGATCCCTTCCATCAAAACCAGAACCTCCAAAATCTTTCATAAATGGATCCTCCAAGAAAGCCTTCTCACTCTTTGGTAAAGTACGTTTTTCCCTACCAAAATTAAGCAGGGGATCATTAACAGGAAGCCCTTTACCACCTACAGAAAATGAAGATTTTGACACAGAGCTCTGGACAGAATCAACTCTATTTCTGTTGTGTTGTTCACTACCAACATGACGATCCCATGCATTATTTCTTTCAGGCCCTCGGTTACTGTTAGATTCCATCATGTTACTCCAAGGCTGTTTCCCACCCTGACCATAATTCCTCTTTCCAGAATCATCATGAACATTGTCTCTGAAGGGGGACGGCATATATTTGTTATCCTTCCCCACATCTCTATGCACATTGGATGGCCTTGCACCAACACCGTTTCTCTCATTTCCTGCATCCTTAGAAAAAGACGAACTCCTCCAAGAATTTCCTTCCCTCAGCCCCTCTCTATCATAAGGGTTCAGTTTAGAAACTTCACTGGAAGAAACCTTACCAGCTTCATTGCCCCGCAGCTGTCCCCTCTTTTCAAAACCATGACCATGCTGCTTATGGGGCAAAATGCCAACCCTGGGCATATCCAAATCCCAATAAGCTTCACTCTTTGAAAATCCATGATCCCTCACCTCTCTGCTCGTAAAACCATGACTAGTATCACGCTCATCATCAGCCCAATCAGATCTCGGGTTCAACCTAACCAGAGGCAGAGGACCAGGGAAATACTCTTCCTGCTGCTTCCTACCACTGCTTTGGTTTGCTGCACGAGAACCAGAACCAGAACCAACCAAACCACGATTCTCACCACCATTCTCACCAACTACATTCCCACTGCGCGAAACACTGAACACAGACTTCACATCATCCTTCTTCTTCTCAACGTACACACTCTCATCCTCCAATTTTTTTTGCTTCTGAATCAAATTCTCTGGGATCTTCTGATTCTGCCCTGCCCCGGAGCCGGAGCCCGATGCTGCCGAGGAGGAAGACACCAAGGTGGCCCGCAAGGAAGGAAAATCCTCTCCTCTTAACACTGCCGCCGAAACAGGCGCAGACGCCGATCCAACTGCTCTTCCGCCACGGCCAAACCCATCAACGGACCGCAATCCATCATCCACAATCGCTTCTTTCTCTTGCGACACTGTTGCTGCGGCCGGCTTCGTCCATCCCAGACCGGACGAGTTCGGTCTTGAACCACTTCCCGAACCGGCTCCACCTGCCGGACCGTTTCCCGATCCCAACGAATCGAACCGCTCGTGCTCTTTCCGCAGCGAAGGCAGGTTCAAGGGGGGTGGAACAGAAAGCTTCGGCCCAGCCTTCTGCGAACTGCGAGGCCTTGATAAAACCGCCATGCCCCCGGCGCCACCGCCGCCGCTGTGGCCGGCGGGTCTCGCCGTTCGGTTGGATCCGAAAGAGGAGGCGGAGTGCTGCTGCCCATACGACTTGTTGAGATTCACAGACACATATTTGGTGCCGGAATTTGCCATCGCAGTCGCACCACAAGTGTGTATCGCCAAAGCATGAAAACCCTAACCCTTTGATTTACACTGGTTTTTTCAGACGCTGATCCCGATTCGCCGATGATCGAACCTTCTAACCCTAACCCTAACCCCGATGATCAAAACGACGACCCGCGAGGTTGAATGAAGGGTTCAGCTGTGATAGATCGATCTAGTTTTTTTCTTTTCTTTTCTTTTTTGTTAATTAGGGTTAGTGTGAGAAAAAAATAGGGTTTGAATGGGAAGGGGGAGTAGGATAAGAATGTCACCTGCGGAGGCGTAAATTAGAGCGCGACTAATAGGAGAAGCCCTACTATAATACGTAACCGGGAACAGAGAAGAAGGAGAAAGAAACAAGCTAACAATGAAACGAGCTGAACAAGTAGACTCCAAACTCAGGAATGCTTTTATTGTCTTCAATCTTCATGTTTGTTACCCTATATTTCTTCGTATTTATGTTTGTACCACAACCCATTTTATTTGTTTTGGGTAGGGGTGTTAACGGCCGAGCCGAGTTTTGGTCTTAAAAGGTTAAGTCTGTGATTAAATGTGTCGGCCTTACCAAGTTTGTTACCTGTTACGAATATAATTATCGGACTGTGGCCTGCCTTATTTACAAAAAATAAAAGCCTTATTTGGCCTGTTGTTAAAAAAAAATAAGACAATAAAAATTTATCCAAACAGAATATACAATCAACAATACTAGTAATTCCATAAATATTCATAAATTCAATATATATCGAAACAACATAATATAGAACAAAATCATTCAAAAAGTCTGTTTAGCTAATAAAATAGGGTTGAAATAAATTGAGAGAAGAGAGAGGACTATTACAAATAGTATAAAAAATATAAATAAAAATAAAAATTAATATATTAGGCCAGTCTGAGAGGCTCCAAGGCCGAGCTTTTGAATTGGAGCCTGAGGCATTTTTATTAAACGAGCTTTTATACAAGTCCAAACATGGTTCCAACAATCAATATTAGGCATGTAAGCATGAGTCTTCACGAGTCGAGTCAAAAGTCCCTGAAAGGTCCCCTGCCTCGTTTATCACCCCTAGTTTTGGGGTATATTTTCTTAACACTTTATGTTTTTAATATTTTTTTATGTTATTGTGTGAAGTTTTTTTATGTGAGTCTCATTAATAAAGGGTGTATAAGGTAATTTAGGCGGATTTATACAAAATATTACTCAAAAATAAATTTTTTAAAAATGATTAAGTTATTATTAATTCTCATTTGTTTATATTTGGAATAATTGGATTTTATTAGAAAAGGAAATAGACGAGAGAAATTGTGTTTTATTGATGTTTGAATGGAAGAAAAGAAATAAAAGAAAATTCCTTAGCTAAATTCCTTAATAAAAGAAAATTTATTAATCTTTTGACTAGATATTTTTGTTAATACGACAGAATAGGATATTTTATAAAAATAGGAGAGAAATTTATTTGTATAAAATTATATAACTTAAATAAGCACTCACTAGAGGAAAGTTTACATTAAAATCAAATAATGAGTTACCATATCATCAGTGTTGTCTTGATAAGATATTAAGAATTTTAAAAAAAAATTAAAATGCATAAAAGTGAAAATAATATAATTTTCTATCCTTTTTAAAATTTTATGTCCGGAAATGAAAATAATAATGAGTTACCACTTCACACTTAGTCTCTTCTCGAAAAAAAATTAAAATAATGTTTTTTAATTAAATAATTACGTATTTATTACAGTTTTGGAAAAAATTATGAATCTTTTGTACACTGTGACGTCTCTTTTGGGCGTCACATGTAACATCTCTTTTGGGCGTCACATGTGACGCCCCATTGAGGCGTCTCACGCTATGGGAAAGACGCTCAAATGGGACGTCTCTCATGAGGTGTTGACACATGTCACTTTTTTTTCCAAAATAAAAAAAATTAATTTAATCATAAAACTTCTAAAGGTCATAACTTTTGACTCGAATATCCAAATCAGGTAATTTTTGTTTTGATTCCACATAACTTTTTGAGATCTACGCAATGACATCTCATTTGATATATTTTATTTCTCACCAACATAATTTAAATTTAAATCAGGTAATCCTTCTTCCTTAGATATTTAGAATATTTATTTAAATATTTCCTTTATTAATATAGATTTTTCAAATTGATTTTTGAGTTTAAATCACAAATCAAATCTTTATTTTATTTTTCTTATTAATAATAATTTTTACTTTTAATTTAAATCACAAACCAAATTTTTTTAATTTAAATCACAAATCAAATCTTGATTTATTTTTTGTATTAAATCACAAACGCAGAACTCAGAGGCTTCTGAGTTTAAAAATGTGACACGTGTCAACAAGTGTCAAAACCTAACACATCACCAATCACGTCTAAATTGGGTTTCAATCAAGAGGCAATCACGCCTAATTTAGGTAATTTTATTTTTGAAAAACATTCATAAGCCATCATTAATTTCAGACCACGAATAATAATCCAGAAGCTTATAGCATTAATCATTAATTTTAAAAATAATATCCTTCTTCCTTAGAAATTTAGAATATTTATTTAATTATTTCCTTTATTTCTACAGATTTTTTAAATTGATTTTTTAGTATAAATCACAAATCAAATCTTTATGTTTTTTTTTTATTTTTATTTTGAATTAAATCACAAACCAAATTTTTGTTATAATAAAAAAAATTATTATAAAAAAAATGTAAATCACAAATCAAAATTTTATTTATTTTTTTGTATTAAATCACAAATTCAGAACTCAAAGGTTTTTGGGTTTAACCACTCTTATAATACCATTCTTGCAAATTAAAATTGTGTCTGTGAGAAATAAAATATGTCAAATGAGATGTCATTGCGTACATCTCGAAAAGTTATGTGGAATCAAAAAAAGAATTACATGATTTGGATACTCGAGTCAAAAGTTATGGCCTTCAGAAGTTTTATGATTAAATTATTATTTTTTTAGAAAAAAAAGTGACACGTGTCAACACCTCATGAGAGACGCCCCATTTGGACGTCTTCCCCTCAGGGTGAGACGCCTCAATGGCGCGTCACAGTGTGCAATAGATCTGTAATTTTTTCTAAAATTACAATAAATACGTAATTATTTAATTAAAAAATATTATTTTAATTTTTTTTTGCCAGTATCTTCTTGCTTTCACTTGAATCACACGCCAAACTATTTACCGCCAAACATCAATGGCGATGGCGTTAGTAAATGAATCAAAGTGATTAGGGCATCTAAGAGGGCAAACTCATTTGCAGTGCACAATCATGCCACTGACTCACTTGTGCTATTTTTTCAGGCTAAGTGAGAATTTACAAATTTATTTTTGGATGTTATTAATTTTATAAGATTGATTTTAGTCAAAAGTAAGCTTGAAGTGAAATAACTAAAGTTTAGTAAAGCTTGGTATAAAATTTTCAACCCAATACAAAGAGTATATTATTAGGGGTGTTCATCAACCGATCCAAACTGCGATGACCGAATCGAAAAATCGAAAACCGAAAAAAATCGCAAATTTTAATTGAATTGGATCGGTTTTTGGATTGGTTGATGAAAACCGATCCAATCCAAATCGATCCAATATATTAATTCTCCTCTACCTACTTGGATCTTTCTCTAATCATAGCCCAAAAATTTTTAAACCCAAGACTCACTGGGTATCAACTAAACCCAAAAAAAAATCTAGTCACATCTCATCAACAATTTTATCTTTGTAGAGTTTCATATCTCATTGCAAAAAAAAAAAAATATTATAATTTACTAATGCTTTTGTATTTAAAATAATAATAATTTACAAAGCCAATATATACAAAAGATGTTATTTGCATTATAATCATGAAATAAATTTTAGGATTTTTAAAAAACCGAAAACCGATCCAATCCAAACCGAAAAAAATTGGATTGGACGGATTTGAAACAAAATTCAAACTGAGTAAATGATTATATGATCAAACCAAAGAAATTGGATCAGATGATTTTTGCTTCCAAAACCGATCCAATCCAACCGCGAACACCCGTATATATTATGCTAAAAGAGATAAGTCTATTATGTTTTTATCAACAAAGTCATGTTTGATTGAAAAAAAACTAAATATATTATATTTAAAGTAAAACTAAGGTTTTTTACGAGTAAAAATTTAAATTAGAAGAAGATAGATACCGCTAATTATCACCTAGCAAAAAGAAAAATCTGATAATCGAAGCCATATATGGCTAACGTGGGCGGAAGATTCGACTATGTGTAACGCCCATTGGTTAATTCAAGTTTTTATTGGTAAAGGAGAGAGATTGATCATGTTACTAGACGCATATTAATAATGATAATGCTATAAGTGGCGTGATCTATATTAATGGCTTGGGGGTTTCAAAAAAGTAGTAGAAGATCCTAGCGATGGATATGATTTCGTCAATTTCACTGTCACATTCGATGATCCCATACTTTTTTTAAACGTTCTGAAGTTTCTCTCTTGATCGGCCTGCAAATTTTGAGAGAAGAGATCGGTTAACGGAGAATGTCATATTTTTATATATCATTTCAAATTCCTTAGTTCTGACCAAAAATATCCCCTAACAAAATTATTTTATTAGATATGTAAAAAAGCCTATTTTATAATAGAGTATCTAAAATTATCTAAAAATTACATTATTTTCTTAAATTCCTTTATCCAAAATAGTTTATAAGAGTTTAATTTTTTTATAATTAAAAAATTATTAATAAAATGAAGATATATATACTCGAATTATAATTTAAAATTTGTCAACAGTGAGTATAATTAAACTTAATTGCCTAGCATCCTGATCCTTAGTCCTTAGCTCAAGTAGCACCACTAACATACCTTTTGGGATTGTACAAGAAAACGTCCCTTTTTAACAACTTATTTATTGTAGAATCAAATTCAATTGATGTCACTTTATTTTTACTTTGGCCTATCATCTTTCTCTTTATATACTAGTTTTAAATTCCAAAGAAAATGAATAGAAGTAATTTTTCAACCCTCCATCATCTTCTTTCCTTTTTAGGAGACACTTAGGTTCTTGCAAAGTTGCAATAATGGCCAAAATCCGAAACATTGGAGCCTATGAGAACCAACAAGCAGCGCTACAGTACGAAAATCAAAATGGCAATCTTTTAATATTCAAAGAAAGAAATATTTATATGTTTTGAATTTTGTATATCTTGATTTATGCTAAAATATTTTTTTTTTTAAATTTTTATTAATATACACGTATTGATACTTATTTGAAAATAAAAATGGCAATATTTTAATATTCAAAAAAAGAAATATTTATATATTTTGATTTTCTTATATGTTGATCTATGCTAAATTATATTTTTAAAATTTTTTATTAATATACATGT